ATCCCCATTCGTCCCTCAGTCCATTAAACACAGACTAAAAGCCTAATAACTTTTGCCCAAATTCAGTAAAAGTAGGTCATTATTATGGTGTATTTGAGCCCCTTTAATCTCGAAAAATGTGTTATAAATAGTAAATTAACGGAGAACACGTGGTTAAAAAAAAGGAAATTTTTTTTATTTGCATGTAATATTATTTTAATGAAAAATATATGAATAAAAATAATTATCGTAGAAAAAATAATATGGTAAAATATGAAATAATAAATGACAAACAAGGGCTTACTTAATACTTTTTCAAACTACTTCATTTAAAAAAAAAAAAAAAAGGGTTGAACCCAACTTTGAGAGCCCCGATGCCCCATCCCACCCCACCCCACCCCCCTGAACCCAATTTTGAGAGCCCCGATGCCCCATCCCACCCCTACTTCATAGAAATGATATGCAGTGGTGGTCTCCTTTTCACAATGGATAGGAGTCATTATTTTCCACAGTGAATAGAAGTTATTTATGCTCATTGTAAGTGTGGCGGGCAGGAGAACAAATCCATAAGAATTTATACCCAATTTCTTTCTTTCTTACAATTCGCGTCACAATAAGGTAGCCTTGCATTTGTCAAATGTGTATGTAAAAGGAAGCTAAACAATGAGAATGTACTTGCGTGTCATCTTCATTCTTCTTGAAATAAGAATTTTGACTCGTAATTACAATACAAATTTAATGATATATGATCCTATTTAACAAATCAATGGAATAAATCTCATCCACTAGCGAGTTTATTTTGACTTTGTTTATACCATCTCGTGTGAGTATCAAACTAAAGCACAGACACGTAATTACGAGTTATTCGACATACTCACTACACCAAAAGGGAAGAAGAGTTGGCATATCCTCTTCTCCACAAAGGTAATAAACTTATATTAATAATCCAAAGTGGAATTACACTCGAAAAATAATCCTCTTTATTCTTCACATCACTCATTTGGATTCTAGTTTGTATTGCAAATTACTCCACTTGCACTTTAATTGGGAATGTGAATTTGTTCTCTTTTATAGTGGAAAAATTTGAGGTTGGGGAATAAATTCTGTCTTTTTTGTCACACTTCCGTGGCTTCCAAATTCTCTTCAATAATTTATTTTGACTTGTTCGGTATGATTTTTACTTTTTGAGAAATATATCCTAATGTTCATTTAAAAACTAATTTCTAAAAGAGTTTCCTATCTTAAAAATTGTTTTTGAAAGAAAGTCAAATTAAATTAGATTCATCTAAAAACTCTTGTAATTAAAAGAAACTCTTTCATGTAATTAGCCAAATGAGTTCCCAAAACAAAACAAAAAAAAAAAAAAAAAAAAAAAGAAAAGGGGGAAAAAAAAAAAAAAAAAAAAAAAAAAAAAAAAAAAAGAGGAAAAGGGAGAGAGAGAAAGAAAAATGGATTTCGAAAATTTCTTTTAACTTCTAAGAACCATGTTAAATGGGCTCTTTTAAGTACTTATCATAATAATGTGAACAAAAGCTACTTTACGAAACAGTTGAAATTTTAAGATATGAATATATTACAAGGGTCCAAATTAATGCTTATTTTTTAATGGAATCTTGTCAAGCATGCAAATCCTAATTTTCAATATTGAAGCTCCGTTTGATTCTCATTTTTATCAAAATATATTTTTCTTTTTCTTCTTTTTAATCACACATTCTTCATTTAAATAATATTATACGTAAATAAAAAACTTTTCATTATTTTTCATCTACACATTCTCCATCAATCTACTATGCTAAATTCATTTTCCCATAAAAATGGGACTCAAACACCCACTAAGCTTTGCCAAATATGTTCAATGTAAAAAAATGTACAATAAGAAAATTAAGCTCGAGATTGTTGTTAAGTTGTATCAAACACGCCCTTTACTGCCATTATATGCTAAACACTGGGATTTTATTTCCATAATCATGCTACATGTACTCACACTTTTGTACCAAATTTTTTATTTACACTCACAATAGGGATGGGGACCACACAACCGACATTTTTTGATTTCATGTAGGGTCCGCAACAAAGCTCTGTGTACAGAGCTTTGTTCTACAAATGTCTTACCGACCCCTCACATGGCGTCGGTTCCATGCGGGCCTCAATGTAATAAAAAATGAAAAAAAAATCCCGACCCTACTTCTTTGTTAGAACTCTGTAAGAGTTCTGTAATGTGCTGGACTGTACGCCCAGCGCTGTCCTTTTTTGTGAGTGTGTGTAACTCATTTTGTCAAAATTTGTGAGTTCATATATATTAATCCTTACCTTCAATCATGCTATATATACGTTATGGATTACATTAAGGTATACAATCTTTCACATGGCTAAATCTACACAATTAATTTTGCCTACAACCATCACATCACTGTCCAAATTTTTGTCACATTGGGGGAGTTCCAATACATTAACAATCAATATAGAATCAATCTACTTGTACAAAGTTTGTTTACAAATGAAGTGTTAGCAAGATCTAGACCATTAATTTTTATTGATTTCAAAAACTGTTTTTAAAATGATTGGTCTAAATTTTGTTAACACATAGTTTGTACACCAAATTTGTCGATTTAATTTGTACAAATAGCAAGATTTTTCAAGATATAGCTTTGTTCTTTTGTTTCTACTTGAAAGTCGAAAAAAAGGACAATGGATAGTTATGACTGCGCTTGACCAATGGGAGATCGGATAGGGACTGCTTGGATATAAACCAAACGACAACAAAAAAGAGAGCATACTTTTTCACTCAAAACCAAGATAGAGTCACAGCCACAGGGTAAAAACACGTCCGTTTGGGAAAAGACGATTTCAGACTTTACTCTATATGGGCCCCAAATGCATCTCCTTTGCCAAAATCGTTTTTGGAAAAGCCCAAAAACCCAAAATGGCCCACAATCTGAATCGGACCTGTGTCGTATTAATAATTCAAATATTTAAAACGACAGTGGATCATATACAATTGGTGCCATGTCAGAAGTACAGAGCTGGCAGGGTCAGAGAGTCAGCAACATTATCATACACCTGTCATTCAAACTGCCATTTCACGCCGTCACCTAATGACCCTCTTTAGGATGAGTAATGCATTAGGATTTTTATTCTTATAAAAAAACAAAAGGTTGAACTCCAACTTTAAGGATTCCCATAGCCCTATTTCTAGAATTTTGTAAGGGAAATAAATGACGAGATGTGTCAAAACAGGTCAAGGAACAAGAGTTACTTGTACATTACGCCTACAAGGAGACCAATTTTATGTTCCAGGAATCGAACCACAACACTGTGACTGCCAGCAAGGCGTGAGATAACCTCACTCCTATTTTTTGCATCACTGAGCTATGCTCGGGGGCAAGATTTTTTATTTTTATTTTTTTACTTCTGGGTGTAGTAAGCTTAGCTGGTGATTATTTTAGATTTTAAATAAACCATTTTTGAACAAGGGAATCATACAATTCCTTCTAACAAGAGGAAATTGCGAAATATAGAGATTATTTGATACAACTTAAAAGTTAATTAAAATCAATTTTTTGATCGTTATTTTATTATTTCAATTGTCATTTTTGAATTCTTTTTCACAGGTAGGATCCACTTTATCTCTAACGGTCAAAAAATCAATTATCAAAATCGCTACCAAACAAGTACATAGTTACGTTTCGTTCTTGAGAGTTGGCATATTAGAAGTTTAAAGTCGGTAAATATATTCAATTAATTAGAGAGGAGACAAAGACAGTTAACCTCTACCCGACATATCATCTCGCTTAAAATTGCTAAACCAAGATTGGGAGGAATTGCATCTTCTCCTGCGTCTATGAGAACAACTAGAATCTCATCTCTTATCTATAACTTGCTTTCACCTGTTGTTTAAGACAAAATAGTTATTTTCTGAATAAGAGGACTATTGATTTCGAATTTTTTTATTCACACATATTGTTACTCATTTATTATTTGAACATTTCATATAAATCACGACTTATAATCACTTGAAAGAACAATTTTTTGTTTTATTTTTTTTAACACTTCAATTCAACTTGTTAGAAGTGAAATGTATACATTGATGTTAAACTGTCGGAAATCTTATTATTGTTAAATCTTTTTTAAGTATTCAGATAATAAGCTATTGTATTGGCCAAAAGGATTTACAGAATTTAGGTTAATTTATTAGCTTCTGAACGGGTAAAATTAAATGTTATGTCTTATTTGAGTCAAAGTTATATTATTTAAATTTCATTTTTATGAAATGAGTGATTTATAAGTGAATAATATTTATGAATTTTATAAAATGTATAGTTAAAATTAAATTTGAAAAGGTAGAATTTGAGTAAAAGAAAATAAACTTAAAAGGAGGCTAAGAACAAAATTCTATAACCTTTCTTCAGTAGCTCTCTATAATTATAGGGTTTGATTATCATTTTTATCAAAATATTTTTTTTTTCTATTTTCTTTTTAACCACACATTTTTCGTTAAAATAATATTAGACATAAATTCAAAATTTTTCTTTATTTTTTATTCGTACATTCTCCATTAATCAATCATTTTAAAATTTATTTTTCTATAAAAATGAATATCGAACACCCTCTACATAACGTGGTCAATATTGTAGAGCCAATATATACACGGGGACGGAAAATGATGGATTTTTACTTTGTTTATTTCAGTAGTTCTTTAGAGTTTAGACCATTCGATTCCTTGCCACCATATAAACAATGCCCAGTCTCCAGCGCACATCTTCAAATGGTAAAAGGGAAAGGTGGAGAAATCCAGTTTTGCTTGAGACTGGTGAGCCAAGGATTCGAATCCTGAAATATGAATTTGGCTCTTGGATAAGTGCAAGGGTACAAGCAGCCTTCCACCCTGTACCCTTGGAGGCATAACTTGCGATTTACCTCCCTTCACAATGCTTCAGGACAGGAGTGGTGAGAGACCCTTAAAGTTGGGGTTTAACCTTTTTTTTTTTTTTTTTTTTTTTTTTTTTTTTAACAATGCCATGCCCAGTACTTGAATAGCCTTTAAAACCCCTTCGTCTCCACTCTCACCCGTACAAATATCTGTTCATCTCACAAAAGCTAAAATGAGAAAATTTTCATTAAATAATGTTCCTCATCATATTTTCTTGATTTTTCTCTTTCTTTGGTTTTCATGCAGTATCACTCATGCACAATCGGATCTTGAAACCCTGTTGAAACTGAAATCCTCAATAGTCGGAGCTGACGGGTCGGGTCTAGATGACTGGGTTGCCACCCCGTCGTCTTCTCCGTCAGTTCACTGCACATTTTACGGCGTGACGTGCAACGATGAATTAAGGGTGATATCTCTCAACGTCACCAACGTCCCACTTTTGGGGACCCTGCCGCCTGAGATTGGGCTGCTGAGTGAACTAGTTAATCTCACTTTATCTGGTAATCATATTACCGGCTCGATTCCGATGGAAGTTTCCAGTTTAATCAACTTGAAGTACGTGAATCTCTCCTGCAACCTGTTCAGTGGGACTTTCCCTGAAAAAATTGTGCTTAAAATGACAGAGCTCGAAGTTTTGGACGTGTACAACAATAATTTCAGTGGAAATCTCCCCGTGGAGTTGGTCAAGTTAGAGAAACTGAATTTTCTTAAGCTCGGAGGAAATTATTTTTCCGGGGAAATCCCGGAAATTTACTCCGATTTCAAAAGCTTGATGATCTTGGCTTTACAAGGCAACAACTTGGGAGGAAAAATTCCAGCATCTCTGGCTAAGATTCCGAACCTTCAGGAGCTTTCTTTGGGTTACTATAATTGCTATGAAGGTGGCATTCCGCCGGAGTTTGGTACGATAGCCACGCTGCGATTACTTGATCTTGGAAACTGTAATCTCACCGGTGAAATTCCGGCGAGTCTTGGGAATCTCAAGCATTTGCATACTCTGTTTCTTCAGTTGAACAATCTCACTGGCCATATTCCACCGGAGCTTTCGGGGTTGTTCAGCCTGATGTCACTGGACCTTTCCATTAATCTTCTTACAGGAGAGATACCAGAAAGTTTTGCTGAATTGAAGAATTTGACTCTGCTTAATTTGTTTCAGAACAAATTACAGGGTCCTCTTCCAAGGTTCATTGGGGACCTGCCCAATCTTGAAGTTTTACAGATATGGAACAACAATTTCACTCTGGGACTGCCGGAAAATCTCGGCAGGAACGAGAGGCTAATGCTGCTGGACGTTACACAGAATCGCCTGACTGGAACTATCCCGAAGGACTTGTGTAAAGGAGGAAAGCTTAAGACTTTGATTTTAATGGACAATTATTTCTATGGCCCGATTCCAGATGAGTTGGGTGAGTGCAAGTCCTTGACTCGGATCAGAATAAAGAAGAATTACTTGAATGGAACGATTCCGGCTGGATTTTTTAATTTGCCACAGTTGGATATGCTTGAGCTAAATGATAATTTCTTCACGGGCGAGCTGCCCGATGAGATTTCTGCTAATACTCTTGGGAGTCTTTCTTTGTCGAATAATTGGATTACGGGGAGAATTCCTTCGGCTATTGGGAATCTGATGAATCTTGAGAATTTGTTCCTTGACTTGAACAAGTTCTGTGGCGAAATCCCGGAAGAAATTTTCAGTCTAAAAAAACTTTCAGAGTTGAATTTCAGTGGCAACAGCTTGAAAGGCAAAATTCCAGCTTCCATTGCTCGTTGTTCCCACTTGACTTTCATTGATCTAAGCCGAAACAATCTAGACAGTGTGATTCCTATGGAGATTTCTGTGCTGCAGAATTTGAATGTTCTTAACCTGTCGAGGAACAAACTCACCGGCGCAATTCCAGGTTCAGTTGGGTTAATGAAAAGTTTAACAACTTTGGATCTTTCTTACAATGATTTTTCAGGCAGAAGACCGACAACCGGGCTATTTAGAGACATTGATGATCTGTTTTTGGCCGGAAATCCTAACCTCTGTGAACCTCAGAGCACGTTTTGTTCCTCTGCTTCGAGTTCATCACAAAGACATCCGAGAGAATCAAATATGGTGATCATTGTAGTAATAGTAGTCTTTGTTTTATTGCTAATGGCTGTTGCCTTGATCGCAATTAGAAAGAGAACGCTCAAGAAATCGAAATCCTGGAAACTTACAGCGTTCCAGAGGCTAGACTTCAAAGTGGACGACGTAATAGAATGCATACAAGATGAGAACATAATTGGTAAAGGTGGAGCTGGGATTGTCTACAGAGGCTCCATGCCAAATGGCTTTGACATCGCGATAAAAAGATTAACTTGCCGTGGTAATAGTCCAACTGATTATGGATTTATGGCTGAAATTAAGACATTGGGGAGAATACGGCACCGAAACATAGTAAGACTTCTGGGGTATGTATCGAACAATGAGAACAATTTATTGTTATATGAATACATGTCCCATGGAAGCTTAGGGGAGATGCTGCATAGTGCCAAGGGCGCTCACTTACAGTGGGAATCACGGTACAGGATTGCAGTGGAAGCAGCTAAGGGCTTATGTTATTTGCACCATGATTGTTCACCTTCGATTATTCACAGAGACGTGAAATCGAATAATATTCTGCTCGACTCGGATTACGAAGCTCATGTGGCTGATTTCGGACTGGCCAAGTTCTGCCATGACGCCGGTGCATCTGAATGCATGTCCTCCATTGCTGGCTCCTATGGCTACATTGCACCAGGTGAGTACTTTCTTAACTAGAACTTTTGTTTCTTTACAGATTATTGCATTGTTAATTTTCTGAATTTCTAAGATAGTTTAGGTCATTCATTAATTTGGTTGTGCTGGACATATGAATCCTTCTGTTGCCATATAATACTATAGATTTTTGTCCTGTCCTCTGTGTGTTAGACACTAAAATATAATAGACAAGATTTTATTCTAGCATTACACGGTTTACCTGATCCAAACAAGACTTAATTTACTCCATCGATTATGTTTTAATGAGTTGTTTTGTTTGAAATGCAACAGAATATGCCTACACACTAAAAGTGGACCAGAAGAGTGATGTGTACAGCTTTGGGGTGGTGATGTTAGAACTGATCACAGGGCGAAAGCCAGTGGGGGAGTTTGGGGATGGTGTCGACATAGTGAGGTGGGTGAGAAAAACGACATCAGAGCTCTCTCAACCTTCAGACGCTGCCTCGGTACTAGCAGTATTGGATTCTAGGCTCGTTGGCTATCCCTTAAATGGTGTTATAAACTTGTTCAAGATTGCAATGCTGTGCGTCGAGGATGAGAGCGCGGCCAGGCCGACAATGAGGGAAGTAGTTCACATGCTCACTAATCCTACACAATCTGCCCCTAACCTGCTTAGTCTATGAATTGGCTTTCGAGAATCTGAAAATTTTGGGGAAAAGATAACGATAAGTTTGTAATGTAGTGTAATAACTTCTTGTAGCTTTTGGTCTGTAAACTTAGAAGGGCCAAAAATGGAGCAGGAAAATGTGCTTTGTTGTTGTTGTAGGTGTAATGTTTGTTTTCTGGTTCTGTTTGTCTATATTTTCATGACCAGTTATACAAGTTTCCCCATTCTCTTCCTTATTTATTCTTATTACTTTTGATTAGGGCGGGGCAAATCTCCCGAACCGATCGAACCCGAATCGAATCGAATCCAACCGAACTCGACGGTTCTTGTCAAATTAAATATCCGAACGGGTATCTGAATTGAGAATCGACGGGTACGGTTCGGTTCTCGGTTCTAGACCAAGAACCGAAGAATTAAATAAGAAACGAATCTTTCTAATTTTTTTTTTTAAATCAAATTATTTTAATTTTAATTTTTTTAAACAAATTAACGATTTCTAAATCCAAATTTTTGGCCCAATAATTTGTTTCATTTCTAATTTTTTTAATTTTTGGCCCAATTACCTATTTTATTGTTTCATTTCTTTGTCAAATAAGATCAAATCCACTAAATAACCCTAAACACTTATACTAAAGTGCATAACATTGTCTCGACTCTCGCGGCCTCGCTAATATCCCAAAACCTATATAATCATCGGCCGATACTGTGACCTCCGATCGAAACTGTAACCTCCGTCGACCGAAACTTTGATCGTAGCGATCATTTGAACAAGGTAGTTTACTAGTCACTCACATTCCAAAACTATTGAATGTATAATTAGTTGTATTTATAGAATGTTGTTATAAATGTTAAAAAATTTAATTCTAGTACAGAATCGAATCGAACCGAACCCGAACGGTTCCATAATTATATTTGGACCCGACGGTTCCATTTACTAGATACCCGAAAAGTTTGGTTCGATTCGATTCTCTGAATCGACTTGCGCCCACCTCTACTTTTGATAGTGCTTCATTTTTTTATTTTTTATTTTTATATATACTTCAAACTACAATGATGCCATTTGATAAATTTATAAATAATTTATAAATAGGAATAATAAAAGAAATAGTTGTAAGTTTCACAAAATGCATGGATAGTGGTGAATTTTAGTTTTGGTTGTGTGATTGAAATTAATGTTTTAATTTGATTAAATTTATAAATTAATTTATTGGCCCTCAAATAATTTTTTTCCCTCTCCTATTTTTAATCATACAATTTTTAATAAAATAATATTATACGTAAATCGAAAACTTTTTATTCTTTTACAACCATCAATATTTTTAAAAAAAAATATTATCTCCCATTATAATGAAAATTAATGGGAGCCAAACAGGGGGCTAAATTGCATTCAAATCGAGTGAATTAGTTAACTTCATCTTTTCGTAGGACTATGGTGTTTATTAAATTGTACAATTGCTTCCATAATAATCTTGTATGGTAATGATTAGTTTCGACATTTCATTGGGTCTATAAAATGGTCCGAATGGATTGAGAATAAGATTTAAAGAGAAAAAGAAATTGATGTAAAATAAGGTTAATTTGTTGTTAAAGCTGGCACTATTACATTGTTTTGGCTCTATACAGTAATGGTCCTAAGGAATTGAGAAATAAGATTTAGAAAAAAAAAAAATGGAGAAGAAATTGATGTTGTCAATATCAAATTATTAAAAAAAAGAAAGAAAGAATTAATTTGTTATTTAATCTCTAAATTTAAAAAATTAAATGTTATGTGACAACAAGGAATCCTTATAATTTTGAGCATGTTAAATATGTTCATTTTTATGATTATTTCGTTGTCTAGAAAATATTCGATCTTAAATTTTATCGTCTTACAGAGTAATCTTGATATATGGGACTTGGTTCTTTTTAGTTACTACGTCGTTCCTCAATATGTAATATTTATTTGCTGAATTATATAAAGAATGTGGAAAAACATTAAAAGGAGTTTTGATATGAATAAAACAATCAAATGAATAATGACTTTAACTCAATGGAATGAGAAAAGAGAACATAGTGATTTTGTATATAGAATCTTTTGGTATGCACTATGTCACTTTGTAGAGAATATTTGTCAGCATTATTAAGAGAAAGATTTGTGGTATTGAAAATATATTCAATACTAGTAATACAATCAACTATATGAGTAAGTTTATTGTTATATCAAGTAACAGACTGAATTGGTAGTTACCGATTTAAAATATTAAAAAGAGTTTAAGAAATAAATTTAACCAACAATTTTGACACTTCAACAACAAGCACGAATTCACTCATGTTTGTTTCAAATCCGAAGTTCCCCAATTTGAATTGAAATGGAACATTTTAATGTGTCTTATTAAGGAAATACTTTCGAGAACATATGACAACAAGATCAAGCCAACAGATGAAAGCAAGTCTGAATCCATTTTGTGATTTGAGGAATTGTTTTCACTAACTGTACTTGTTCTGTTTACGTGAAAATTGTAATTACAACAAAGATGCTAGTCTCTCCTTTAATCATGCCAATTCCTGTAATTACTCTAGGACCCAACTACTATATATATATATATATAGATCTCATGTGTTTGAATTTTATTCATTCAAGAAAAGTCATAGATACCATATCATTTCATTCCAATTTATACTTTGGTTTTGCATAAAGTATTTGCATCAAAGTCATAGTTATGGTCATGGTAGAGAGGGAATTTCGTTCGAGTTCGCTGGTCGAAGTCATTTGGAGTGCTCCTATAGCTTGAAGTGGTTGTTATATCTTCTCCACCTCTGCCTCAATAGAAATTCCCAACCCAAAATTCAACTCCTAATATGACCAAGACCAGGTTGTTCTACAAACCTTGGTATCCTCTCTGTCCGAGAGCATCTTAGCTCAAATGGTGGGTCTCTTAACTTCTAGAGAAGTTTGGGTTTCCCTTGAGAAAATGTTCTCCACCATGTCTTTGACTCGAGCAATTCAGACTTGCCAATTCTTGGCTCTCACCAAGAAAGGAAATATGTCATCTCTGATTATTTTCAAAAGATGAAGTCATACTCTGACACCCATGCTGCCATTGGTCAGCCCCTACAAAGTCATGAGTTCACCGCCTACCTTCTTGGAGGCCTCGATATATCGTATGATGCCATTGTGACTTCCATTTCCACTCAAGCTGACAAAATGACTTCTGAAGAGATGTTTAACCATCTTCTCAACTTTGAGTTACGCCTAGAGCAACAACAATCTGCTCTTGATGCCACCGTAAGGTTTGGTCAATGTGACAACCTGGAATGACCAACGCAATCGTGGTGGAAATCCCCAACAAAACCATCGTTCATCACATCCTCAACAATCCTATAGCAACTCCCACTTCAGAAATAGAGGACCTGGGTGAGGACACTCACATCAGAATAACTCTTCCAACCCGAGACCAACTTGCCAAGTGTGTGGCAAAACTGGTCACACGGCCGTGCAGTGCTACTATCACTTTGACCATGCGTATCAAGGGGCTCTTCCAACCATGATAGCATACATGACCTCGCCTTCATCCACTTCAAACACAAACTAATACCCTGATACTGGCTCAACAAATCATCTCACAAATGATTAACAGAACGTGAACCTACACTCGAGGCCATACCATGGAGGTGATCAAATCTATGTCAGCGATGGGGGCAGGTTTGCCTATAAAGAATATTGGCTCTGCCGTTATATCAATTCTAACTCACTCTTTCACTTTATCTCAATTATTACATGTACCATAGATTAAAAAGAATTTGATATCTGTGATTCAATTTATGCGTGAAAATAATATTTATATTGAATTTCACCCATCTTTCGTTTTGGTGAAGGACGGAACCACGGGGAGAATTTTAATGCACGGCAAAACTAAAGACGAGCTCTACTCTTTCTCACCATTAGCTCCACCACCATCTCGCCTATCCTTTCTCTCCCATCGTGCTCCTCTTGATGTTTGGCATTGTCGGATGGGTCATACATCTTATCAAACCGTTCGGCAACTCATCTCCAAGTTCTCTCTACCTCTCTCATCAAATAAAACAGTAGGTGTGTGTTCCGCTTGTCAACAAGGAAAAAGTCATCGTCTTCCATTTTTCCGTGTCAAAGTCTGTTTCCCACTCTCCTTTTGAATTAATCTTCTCTGATGTTTGGGGTCCATCTCCTATTATGTCAACTAATGGAAATAAATATTATGTCTCATTTGTTGATCATTTTAGCAAATTCATGTGGCTCTTTCCTATACCCAACAAATCAGATGTGATGCAAATATTTTGTTCCTTCCAAAAACTCGTTGAACGCCAATTTGAAAGAAAAATAAAAGCTTTACAAATGGATTGAGGGAGAATACCGCTCCCTCCACAAATACTTTGACATAATTGGCATTCAACATCGTGTAACTTATCCTCATACATCACAACAAAACGGGTCTGTTCAGAGAAAACATCGTCAAATCATTGAAACAGGACTTTCTCTTCTATTTCATGGCAGTGTTCCCCATGCCTATTGGGATCATGCCTTTTTAATGGCAACGTATCTCATAAATTGTCTCCCCATAACTCCACTCGATATTTCACCATTTGAAAAACTCCATAAACATGCCCTCGATTTTTCACTACTTAAAATTTTTGAGTGTGCTTGTTTCCCTTACCTCCGTCCCTTCAATCAACATAAAGTTGATTTTCACTCAAAGCAGTGTGTTTTCATTGATCTTAGCAACATGCATCGTGGATACAAGTGCCTGGACACTTCTAGTGGCAAAATTTTCATATCCCGGCATGTCATATTTGACGAGACCATCTTGCCATTTGCCAGCCTACCACACAAGACCCCTACCACCCCACCCACATAGAGCCCAACCGTTACTTTGCCATTTCCTCTCAACATCAACGACACCCACTCATCCTTCCATGTATCATCCCAGGTGCGGAGCCCACGTAGGCCCAATTTTTTTTTTTAAAGCCTGGTTCAATCTCCAACCCAGATAGAAGCCTAATTGCCTACAGCCCATGACCCGTTTACTAACCCAGACCCGAAATGTTGATTCAATTAACTCGTTTTCATTGAAATCAAAACCAAACCCTTGCTTGAATCACATCTCTCTCCGTCTCTCGACTCTCGCCCTCTTCTCTTGCCACTCCGACTCGCAATCGCTGGCTTATAGTTCCAGTCCACCGACGGCTGGCATCTCTTAGATTAGCTAGTAAGTGTATCC